TGGTTAGTTAATCGTATGTGATATAGGGAGACTTTACTAAGTACAAAGATCTGGTGTCAGTAGGACCGAAGGAACAGAGTAGCTGATTTGTATTAGTAGACCCAGTGAGTCTGAACACAGGTGAAAGTTTGTGTGGTTTCTTCTTTTTTTTTTTTCTCAGATGTTATTAGTGTGTTGGGGGTACAGTTTCACACCTCCATACCCGTACATGCTTCACTCTCCACCAAAACCTGCTCGTGCCAATTGGCTATCTACCAGATGTCAATGGGTAGTTAAGTAGCCACAAAGAGAATGAGGTCAATACCTGCAACTTTTTATGAGAGTATCGATAGGATAATAGTTTCTGATTTTTTTTTTCCCTTCAAATGATGCTTTTCAAAAGGGCAGAATTAATGATGGACTTATGCGTCATCTCTGACCTATATTGGGAAGAGGAAATTGCCAGCTTTTTCACTAAAAGTTCTATTTAGTAAAACAGTACATTTATTTTGAAGATAAGGGAAAAGTGTAACCTAGTTCCAAGTGGGTATGTCATATTGCCAAAACTCAGAATGAAAACTCTGTCTTTGCTGGTTCTTTGTCACTTACCCTAATAAGATCACCCACATTGAGTTTTAGGTGGATTAAGAGTTTCATTTGTCAGTACTTAGAACTCAGTAGCTACAGAAGTGCTTCCTTACAGTTATTTTTTCAGAAATGAATTAGACAAAGAGATTTTAAAATCTCCGTATTAGGCTTTGCATCTGTAGTTTAGAATTTAATACATAACTTATAATTAAATTATTAGTTTGAAGAACTTTTACAGTTATTTCATGCAACAAGAGTGCACTCATTTTTAAAATATTAATATAGGCCTAGGCTCTCCCTGGTGGCGCAGTGGGTTAAAGCACTGCATTAAGAAACTTAAGCCACTTCCGCATGAGTTCGATCCCCGCCTGCGCAGGAGGAGATCCACATGGCGTGGCAGACCTCTCCTGGCCTGCCCGCTGTTCTCCTCAGCAGTGTACTTCGGCGATCTGCCTGTTCTGCACCCCACTCTGTCCCTGGTGGATCCTCTCACCCTCCGAATCTCTAGCCTGTACCCCAGTTCTGTATAAATCTTAAAAAATATATTAATCTAGGCCTGTATACTGTAGCCTTTCAAAATATTATAACTGAAAATATGAAATATTAAAAATCACACAAATGCTATGGACTCACACTTCCTGAAAGCTAATTACTATAGACAAGTTAAAATAATTAAAGTTAATTAGTCTTTAAGATGAACAGAAACAACTTCTTTTAAGCTGTTTTTAATTAGAAGGCTATACATTAAAATCAGGGGGGAGATAGCCGAAATGAAGCTTTAAAAGGACAGAATGATAACTTAGATTTGCTTTTTACCTTATTTTTTATAATAAATTCAATGCTGGAGTATAATCTGAAAATATTTAGAAATATAAATTTAAGTGATTATATAAATATTTTTTTTTGTATTCCAGACATTTGGATATTTTAAAAAGCTTCCTAAGCCTCCACATAGTCTTACGATCTTAATTACAATTTTTGCTTTCACTGAGATATTTTGAAGACAAAGGATTATATTCCTGATATAGTCATTTAATTTTTACAGCATTATGGTGATTTTTTTCCCCCACAGAATGACTATAACAATTTAGACTCAGTAAAATAATAATAATAATAATAATAATATCCACGCCCTCTAGAGAAAAAGGGTAAGCGTGTCCTTAACCTGAACAAGTAGGTAGTAAGAGTGATACTAAATGAATATTTTCTCCATTACTCAAAAACTCACACTGTAGGAAAGTATAGTTTTAGTGATCACCAGTGACTTTCACGTTTATTTAGGAAAATTAAAAGAAATTCTGCAATTATGGACTTTACATCAACTATTTGGACTTTTTAGTTCATGAACTCCACTTTCTTTTTTCAGTATGAAATGAGTTCATAAATACCTTTACTATAATCAGCTACTAGTTGTCACCAATTTGACATGAATTTGCAATGGCCTGACTAGAGTGTGAATTTCTAATAGGGATACTTAACACACTTACTTTTCCATGCAAATTGATAATGACTGCAAACAGAAAAAGAGCATCTTTTAAATGCTGCCAGTTTTGAGTCATTTTACTTAAAATCAATATGTTGTAAATTTTGGGTATGTTATAGTACATTTATAGTTTTTATCAAATCCTAAAGTCATATTTTTAGATCAAGGAAATGAAAAGCTCATTGCATTTGCTATATACTTTTGGCTTTCCTAACAAAAGGCTGAATAATAGATAGAGGGACTTCTATTTCAAGATCTAGTCTATATTTACTGTAACGAGTAAGAAAAGAGTGAAGTCTAAGGTTATCATTACCATGTCTGAATGCCACATTCTAGACACCAGACAAACTTCATTTGGAAGTCAATTAAATTCTGAAAGTCTGTGAGCAGAGACAAGTGCAAGAGAGGCAGTGGCAGACGGAGAGCCACAGATTCAGATGTAGGCAGAGGAGAAGGCAAAGTGTCTGGAGAGACTGCCTCGCTGGATCTTGCACTGTGGGGAGACTGAAAAAGTCCGTATGAGGAGACTGACTTTGCCACAGTTAGTAGGTGTGTTCAGGAAATTAACAAAGTATTTGCTATTGCAGGAAAGTTGGGAAGTGCCTGAAAATAAGGCCATGGTGCAAAGTTTTGCAAGGTTGGGCTTATGACTTTGCATCTGATTGTTGAAAAATGCTACAGATGTGCTTAACAAAATCAGACTTAGAGTGCTAATGACTTCTAACATATTCTCTTAAAATGTAATTAATACAAGAATAACAACAAAGATATAAAGTTTCATGGTACTCCTCCCATGGGCCAAGGCTCCTGTGCCACCTGCTGCCACCACGAAGGTGGCAGAACATGATCAGCAGGTGTACCTCACCTCTTCCCACAACTTATTCCCTTAAAATTGCTCCCAAGAAAAAAGTAATACCTACTTGTTTTTTATTGTACATTCTCGCTGTGCTGAGTCTAAGCATTCATTTTTGCCATGCAAAATTGAAGGGAATGAAATTGGTAAGAGGCTATCTTTCATTCTCTGTAACAGCCTCACTTCCTAGGTTCATAATTTTATGGACAGAACTTGTCTGATGACTAAAACTGTTCATAAGTGAATGTACCATGCACACACCTGTTTCATCCTATACAATGTCTTACAAATAGGTTCTCTGCCCATTTGTTCTTTTTTTAAAAAAAAAAAAAAGATTTATTTATTAATGTCTACAGAACTGGGGTGTAGGCCACAGGTGCAGGAGGCAGCTGGAAGATTCACCAGAGACAGAGCAGGGAGCAGAACAGGCAGGTCAACAAAGTACACTGCTGAGGGGAGCGCTGGTGGGTCTGGAGAGGTCTGCTGCCCCGTGTGGGTCAGTTCTGGGGTGGGGTTCAAACTCGCACTGGGGTGGCCATGGCTTGGCTTAGCTTAGCAGTGCGGTGCTCCAACCCACTGCACCACCAGGAAGGGCCCCCATTTGTTCTTATTAATAAATATTTGGACATGATTTTCTAGACTGAGAAAGCTTAGTCTGCATTTTTATAGCTTGAATACTGGTGACATATAGAACAGAAGTTTTCAAAAATATTCTCCTGCTTTGCAATACTTTTAGCTGAGAACATATCCATATGGTTATATCTAAAATAGGTGATGGATGCTTCATACATCGCAATGACCATTATATTATTATACTTAATATTAAAAGATGATTCCACGTCACCCATATGGGGAGGAGGTGTTAACAAGCAAATGTTTCATAAAAGTAGAAGTCAGATAGGGATTATTTTACTTGTCATAGTAGATTTGATCTTCAGTAGACAGAGGTCTTGCTTGAAGTTTTCAATCAAATCTTGTTTATTAAATAATTTCAACAGCACTATAAATGACCCAATATTCCCGGTAGCCCAACAATAATACTGATTTAAGATAAGCAGCAATTTTGCTGAAACAGAATCTGATCATTATTTGATCGTTTCTTTACCAGGGACTTCGATTTGACAGACCAATTCCAACTCACAGTCAGCTTTGTTCCTAAGAGACTACAAATCAAAAAACCCTAAAGGGCAATTCCCACCGCAATTCAAAGTCTGTGCTATTATCCCTTACCAGTGACAGCAAACATCTGCTGTGAAGATTATTGTACATTTGTAGGAGGTGTGTGGTGTTTTGGTTTCACTATCTCTGAAGCCTATCTGCTTGTGAGAGAAATTGTGCAATAAAAGAAGTTTTACCACCACATAACTATCGCTGGGCTTGAACTCAATGAGATTTCATTTCCTTTCTTTCCCGGGATTCAGTCCGCGCCGAGGCACACAATGGGGGTGTTGTATTGGGGCTGGCGTGGCATGCACCATACTCCGAACTGACATGGGAGCAGCTTCCAACACCTCTCTGGGTACTCCGCGACTACCATGAGCTATTCAAACAGCCCCTGAGTTCAGAATACGCCAGTACAAGATCCACTGGCTCTTATGACCTACATAGACCACGGGGCTCCTCAATTTCAATGTATAGCTTTAAGGTATGTTCAGCATGACATAAATCATTTATGAGGCTTCAAAATAAATGCTTCACAATTTCGGAGTCACTGGTTTCCCATGTAATTCTCTCACTATATGTCAAAGTGCAAGTCATGAAAGATTCCATTGTTTGTGTGAGAAAAAGATTGTTGGTTCAAAAACTGTCCCGCAGGACAAGCCGGGGGGGTTGCTAAAACAGTAAATATTTATTTTGACCTCCAAGGCATATGCATGGTGATTGTTGGTATTCTACAATTTCTAGAACCTAAACTCACTGAGCCAAATTCTGTGTCTCTAGTACTATTTTGTGTAAGAGTGTGTGTGTGCTTGTGTGTGTGTGTGTGTGTGTGTATGGTCCTTGGTAAGCCCAGATAACACAATGACTAAATCTTTAAGGCTCAGTTTTGTATGCTTTTAAAAAGGCAAAAAAAAAAAAAAAATAAATACATCTTACCTCTCTCTCAGCCAAGTGGGAACCTAGAGACCTCCTCAGCCGCAGCCACGGGGTGCAGGCAGATGCTCTCTGAGCCAACAATCTGCTAACAGGAAGCAGGTAAGCCCAGGAGCGGCCGCGCGCGTTCCAGCCGAGAGCCCATCCGCGCACACCTGCTTCTCCAGACCTGCCGCTCATAGGCTCTTAGGCAACAGCCACGCACAGGACGGCTGAGCAAAGGGGAACACCCTCCTGAGGGTCACTGCTTTTCAGGGTCGGCAGCTAGAGAGCTGCTGAGATAAAATTGCGGGGGAAGGCTTGCCTTCCCAAGACAAAACCTTTTCTGCTGCCTGATAACAGATAGGCAGCATTATCACCCTGCATTCCACTTCCTCAAATCAGCTACTAGGAGAAGCAGTCAGCAGCTTGTCCAAATGGCAGCTTGCACGCAGGCTTGGCTATAATAATTCTATATGAATGTGCCCGTTACTTCTTTCTTCTCTGACTAGATTTTTTTAAGGTTTCTTCCAGGGTGAGCTCAGCAGAACATGCCACGCTGTTTTCAAGCTATAAGTAAAATGGCTGGTCCTCTCAGCACTGCTGCAGACTGCTGGCTGGGTTCCACCGGCTTTTCGTAGTCATAGCAACAACCAACAGACAGACTTAGACCGCAAGCATGGCTGATCATGTGAAGCCACGACACAGCTTGTTAATTTCTTTTCATCAAAGTCATCATTTCTAGAGGAAGGGGAGCTTCTGTTAGCTTTCTAAATATTTCATTGATAGTACAAGTGCTCTGAGTTTTCAGCTTTCCTGAGGGACTTTTGCTATGGGAGCCAGTGTTACATGTGAAATTGGAAAAGGGAAGCCCTCCTCAATAGGTAAACTTGGGTTATCTAGGTTAATAACATAGGGATCACTGTACAGAGGTTAATTGGAACCATGATCAAAACAGGTCTTACCTTCCTGTCACGGAGGAGAGTAGAGGAGATTGGCAAATGTGGGTCGTTAAACTTTTTGGTTCATATAATCATCTTGTTGCCACTTAACTGAAACAACGCTCTATGACTTATTGCATATGGCCAAAATAACAATTAAATCAGATAAGGATATTTTAATAAGTTGTTACCTGTTTATCTGAGTCCTTTTAATACACTATGGTATTATGTAATTTAAAATACAACTTTAAACATTCCTATTGTTTTCCACTGCAGAAAATGATGTTTTAATTCAGTTATGATTTGTTTGTAATGTATAAATACTTCAAGAAAGCCATACCACATTAAAGATCCTTTGTTTTGGAGGGAAGATAGATCACCTCTCCCCCTTTCTCAAAATTTTACCTCTTCAGGACATTTCCCTTGATTAACCCAGCCACTAACCACTTCAACCTTCTGCAAAATTCCCAGCTTTTGAAAAACACTGTGTCACCAAGTCATATTCTATCTGACATATTTCCAAGACACTGTACCCTTTATTTTTTGTCTCTAGCAACCTGTTTAAAATATCACGCTAACACTTTGGACTTGTAAACATACAGGCTTCATTTGCTAATAGTCATTGATTCAGTATTTTGTAAGCATTGCATTTCCTTCCCTGGTTAGCATAGTAATAACTCCCCAACTTAGTATGCATAGGAATCCTGAGGGCCAGATTTGCGATCCAATTCTCCACGCCTCTCCCACTAGATTCACATTTTTTAGGTTTGCACCTGCTCAGAGTTCCCTATTTACTGAAGAAAAGTGAGAGCCGCTACCCTTCCCTACAGTCCTCACCACTTTATATTATTTCAAGTCTGCTCCTGCTGTCATTTACATGATCTTCCCTTAGTTAGTTTGAGTTTGCTGCACTTGAACTTGGCCCCGCCTTCAACTTTAGACTCACACTTTACTCTTCATGTACCGTGTTTCACATTCTTGGATTACATCCTATTTCATGCTTCCTCACGTTACAGATGTCCCTTCTCCCTAAAAGCTTATCAACTAGACCCTAACCCTAGTGCCTTTTCTTTCCACCCCAATCTGCCTCCTATGTTCTCATTCAACACCTTGCCCACACAGCCCATCACTCTGAGACCCTCCCAGGTGGAATGTGGAAAATTCTCTCAGTGCTTCTTTGTATCTCCACTCTGTCTTCATTATTATAGCGCGTGCCACACCCTGTTGAATTATTAGCAGTTTTCCTTGTAAGTCTGACCCCTCTACTGTGCTGTCAGCTCCCCAAAAGCCAACCTGGTCCATGTCTTTCTTGTCTCTAAAGCTTGGGATATCCTAATTTCTCAACATACTTGAAAGAAGGCCCAAACCACTGTCTGAATAGGAGCTGAAGGACTCAGTAGTGAGAAGTCTGTTTTAATCGACCTTTCCAATACCACAGATGTCTCAGCTTATTATAACTTCAGAATTTAAGTGATTTTGACTAGATGTTGCCATGTTAAAAAAAAAAACTATCAAGAAACATGCTGAGTTCTTTGTGTGTTTTAAGGTGCCTGAAAATGTCCTTATTCTACTCTCACACTTGACTGGCCAGGAGTAAGAACCTTCAAAGTAATTTTCTTTGGAATTTGAAGACTTTTTATCTTATATCTTCTTGCCCCACTACACACCCGTTGTCATTTCTCTGAGGAGAGAGAACTGGAAACTACCCAAGCAGCACAGCCCAGCACAGCCTTAGCAAGTGGGCAACTGACAAGAACCGAGACTGATCTCTTTGCTCCACTGTGTCCCCCAGGCCACGCTTAATTATTACCCATCACTCTGCAGGGGTGCTGCTGGCCCTCTGTGAATCCTCCTATCCCAGACCCCTCTCCCCACTCAGCTCCTGCTGCATCATGTCCTTCAGCCATCTGGTTCTGTTCTACTTCATGTCCCTTTTATCCTCCCCCCAAGCTTGTTCATTTCATTAAAAAATTCTAAATACCCATCCCTAAGAATCGTCCTTTTCCAGCTCACCTTCCGGTGCCAGCAGCTTTATACCTATAAATGCTCTGTGTTAGGTTTCAATCACGATGGCAGGACACTTAGCATTCTATAGTTTTCAGGTTTTGTCACCATAACATGCACAAAGGAATAACTCTTGTCTCCAATAACAATTTTCTAATCATTGGTGAAATTGCACATCTCTTCATGTTTGATGGTCTTTTTGGGTGCTGTCTCTAGATTTCCTATTCTGTACTTTTGCTGTTTTTCTCTACGTGTAGAATTTTCTTGATGATGTGGAATTTTAAACAAAGTGGCCATGAAGACTATTTCCAAAATTTCTATATATTTACACATTGCATTTGGATTTGTTACATGATTACAAGTTATAAGATAACCAATGGTATATAGAGGAAACCCATAATTCACACTGCCAAATGTTTTGGTTTGGTTTTTATTTGTAGAATGTGAGTGAAAAATTCTGTTCAGAAATTCTTCTCAGAATGAAAGTATATACTACTAATACACCATAATATGAAGAATAACTTCTAACACAAAATGCAAGGTCTCACAAAGCACATCTCTCTCTCTCTCTCTCTTTCACACACACACACAAACACACTTGTTACCAACAGAAGAGTCTTTTGAAACTTAATGTTACTCTCCTGAAAACACACAAACACACACATACACGACAAATCTGAAAGAAAAAGAAAGGCTAAGAAATGCTACAGATTAAAGGAAAGAAAGAGCTAATTTGAGTATAATATATGATATTGAGTTAGATCCTGGATCAGTAAAAGAGATGCTTGGCGTGTTAGACAAGGGATCCTTGCATCTTAAATTTTAGTGTGGCTGAAAAGTGTCCTCTTGGTAGTGGCTGTGGTGCAAGGACATACATCTGAGGAGGTGTGGCCATCTAAATGTGAGGGTTCTCGTCACCTACAATGTTGTAAACTAATGTTTCCTCAATGGAAGGAAGGGAAGAAGGGAAGGAAGTTTTTGGGAAAATACTTCAAGTATTTCTTAGTAAAAGGTCAAGGGCCCTGCAACTTACTTTCAAATGGTTCAGCAGAAAGAATAACAATGTATAATAATATCTTTATAGTTTAGCTTTTATTATGATAGATTTAGACCTATAAGATCTATCCATCCTACCTATCATGTATTGGGGGTTAGCAGGAAGGTGGCAAAATACTAATACTTTTGGATGTTAGGCAAGGAATATTTCCAGTCTATTTACTATTCTTCCTAGTAAATAGGAAGTTCCTAGTTTGAAGCTCTTTATTTCCAAGATATGTTTTAAAAACGAAATAGAACCCAGTATTTAGGACAAGTGCAGATTTAAGATAAGATCACTTGATGACTTAACTGTTTGTCAAAATTCAAACTACAGTTGAAAAGTTATGGACTAATAAGGCGATTATTATTGTCAACGTTATTAAGATTATAATTTGGTAGAGAGTATTGGAAAGTTCTTACACTTTCTTGAAAGAAATGTGTTACTTCCCTACATTTACTGCTTGCCTATACCCTGACACTAAGCCATTTATCCCTCGGTTTCCATGTTGAAATCCTTCTTAATCTGGTTTCTTCGCAGCTATAAAAATTCAACTGGTGATTGAAGCAACATGTTCTCTGTTCTCCTCAGTCACACCTACTCCTACAGCTTCCACAGGTGGGTGAGCCTCCATAGAGGAAGCCAGTCCCTGGTATTACAAAGACACTCTTTGTACATGGTAGGGAATAGAACCTGGATATGGCTTATTTAATGGGGTAGCACTGACTGTTATAAATCTTAAGATGACTTTTCTAATTTTTAACAATAAATAACATAGAATATCCCAAAGATTGTTCCTAAACCTTGCATATTTAGTTATATTAGCAATGACATAAACAATACGATTACGGTCTTAGACTGGGGTAGAAAAGAATTAAAGTATCTCATAGAGCAAATTGGCCTTATTTCTAAGATTCTATCCTCCAGAAATATATGCTGGGGCACAAACTAACAGCCTATGAATCAAAAATCTTACTATCCTCTACTAGAGTCTGCCCTTGATAAGTATCCAGAATGACCTTGATAAGCCAGAACTATCTGAAACCAAAACAAATCCTGCATCAAGGCTGTGCAAGTTCACTGAATGAATTAAAAATGAGAAAATAATTATAGAAGAACAAAGCCTTACCAGAGAGAACCTAAGAATACAAAT